ATTGTTGTCACGGGGAATGACCCAAGTGAGATTGATTGTTTGAAAAGGAATCTACATAAAGAATTTGAAATTAAGGATCTTGGAGAACTGAGATACTTCCTAGGCATTGAAGTTGCAAGATCAAAACATGGAATTTTTATCTTTCAAAGGAAGTATGTCTTGGATCTTCTTCAAGAGACAGGGAAGCTAACGAAGGCAATCAATACTCCTATTGATCAGAACCATAGAATCAATGCATCAGAAGGTGAACCAGTAAAGGACATTGAGATATATCATAGACTTGTGGGTCGGCTGCTATACTTGTGTATGACAAGACCAGGCATTTCCTTTGTAGTAAGTGTGGTAAGTCAATACATGCATGCTCCACGAGTCCAGCATTGGAAGGCAGTTGACAGGATTCCTGCTTATCTGAAGGGACACCCGGGCAGAGGCATATTGTTTACTAATTATGGACAGTTGAAACTAGAGGCTTATACAGATGTAGATTGGGCAGGATGCCTTGATGACAGGAGATCAACTTTAGGAGTGTGYACCCTTGTTGGGGGTAACCTTGTCTCGTGGAAGAGTAAGAAACAAACAGTGGTGGCAAGATCAAGTGCTGAAGCTGAATACAGGGCCATGGCACATGGAGTTTCAAAACTTCTCTGGATCCGTTCCCTGTTAGAAGAAATTGGTGTACAGGCAGAAGAACCTATGATGTTATACTGTGATAACCAGACAGCAATTAACATTGCCCATAACCCAGCCCAACATGACTGAACTAAGCACATTGAAGTGGATAGACATTTTATCAGAGAAAGAGTAACTTCTGGAGAAGTTTGTCTTCCATACATTGCTTCTGATCTGCATCTCACGGATGTTCTCACAAAAGGTGTTGCAAAGAACAAGCTGGAATATGATTTAAGCAAGTTGGAAATGTGTGACATTTACTCCCTACTTGAGGGGGAGTGTTGAGTTGGGCCTAGTTGTTTTTTATTCGTATCTTAAGCTATTTAGTTAGGAAATTGTTGGGCTTTAGGCCCATTAGTTTATGTTTCTAAGTTGTGACTGTTCAGCCACATTAGTAGCCGCCCTACTAAGGGCATCCTTGTAATATCTCATCTTTTAAGTTAAGTATAAATACAATGAGGGGTTGGCGGCTAGGGTTAATTTTTCAAGAATCCTGGTTGACTTCCCACTCTTTTCTCCCTCTCTCTTCTTCTCTACTACTGAAATCTTTATCTTCCTCCCCTTTCCTTTCACAAGAAATTCAACTAAATCTACCATCAATGATTTCTACTTGGTGATTTAGTATTCTTTTGGGAGGACACTTGGGTGGGTGACCAACCTCTTGAGTATCTTTTTTGCTCTCTTTATTCCATTTTTCTCCATAAAAGGGGTTGTTTCTACTTTCCTCTCATCTCCTATTCTCCCTTTGTCCTTGAATTTGGATTCTGGTTTTAGAAGAGGCTTGAGGGATGAGGAGGTTACTAGTGTTTTTGATCTTTTTTCTTCTTTGGGTAATATTTGTTTAGGTCCTTCAAAACTAGATAGAAGGACTTGGTCACCAGCTTTAAAGGGCTCCTTTTCTATATCCCTCTATTCTCTTTCTACTCTTGGGTCTTTCCTTGTCAATGAAGTTTGGGTGAGGCTGATCCCCCCCAAAGTTGCTATTTTTTGTTGGGGAGTTTTTCTTGGGAAGATTAACACCTTGGGAAACCTGGAAAAGAGGGACCCTTACTTGTGTTTCTCCCCTAACGAGTGTTTTCTTTGCAAAGCAAATGGTGAGGATTGCTACCACTTATTGATTTCTAGCCCAGTTTCTGTAGCTAATTGGAATTGGATTTTTGCATTCTTTGGGTGTAGGGGGTACTATAGATGTGCCACAAAGAAAACTATTTAAGTAGTATAAGGTGGCTTATGTGTTAGTTGTTTTAGAGTAAATAAATTGAATCATGTTATGTCACTATTGTTTGCGTCATTTAACTTTTTCTTTTATGAGTGTGTTAACTATTATTTTTAGAATTATTTAAGAGTGCCACTTTGTCCAGTTTACTTTGTGTAAGGTGTTAATTATCAAAGCATTTTAGAAACTCATTGGGTCTATACCATCAAGTATCATATTGATGGATCCATTGAGAGGTTTAAGGCTTGGTCAGTTGCAAAGGGGTATGCAAAGATGTATGGGGTGGACTACTTAGAGAGGTTTGCTCCTTTGCTAACATGACCTTTGTGGGGGTTTGTTATCTTTGGTAGAGAATATTGAATGGCCCTTATATTAGTTTGATGTAAAGAATGACTTCTTAAATGGGGATTTACATGAAGCATACATATCCCTTCCTCCTCGGATGTATGGTAATTAGATGTAGTGAAAGGTGTGTAAATTGAAAAAATCACTTTATGGCCTTAAGCAATCACCTAAAATGTATCTCGAGAGGTTTTCACAGCCCTTGTTAGTTTTGGTGGTACCCATAGTCCCACACACAATTATATCACACCCTCTTTGTCAAGGGGAGAGCTACTTCTATCACTTGATTGTTTATGTGGATGATATAGTAGTGATTGGTGATGATGTGCAATAGGTCGACAATTTCAAGAGGTTTCTTTCATGGGAGAATCAAGGTACTTTTTTGGGAATTGAGGTTGCTAGATTCAATGATGGTGTCTTCGTTTCCTAGCACAAGTATGTCCCTAATTTGCTTATTGAGATAGGTAGACTTGGCGTTAAGCCAACTAATACACGCTTTGATTTTAATCATAATCTGTATCTGTTTGCTTTTGATGGAGAATTGTTGCATGATAGGGGAGTGTTTTAGAGGATACTTGAGAAGCTGTTGTACCTTTGCATGACCCACCTTGATATTTACTATGCTGTGAGTGTTATTAGTTAGTTCATGCATGCTCCTAGGGATACACATATGGCTCTAGCGGAGTGGATCTTGTGCTACGGAGGATACAATGGATAAGGGGATTCCATTTGGGAAGCATGGCCACATGAAATTGGAAGCCTACATAGATGTAAATTGGACAGGTTGTGTTGATGACAATCTGTCTAAATCTGGATATTGCACTTTGGTAGGGGTAAATCTGGCTTGTTGGAGAAGCAAGAAACAATCAGTGGTGGCTAGATCTTCAGCTAAGCAGAGTAGAGGGTTATGGTTCATGGTGTGTCAGAATTATTATGGCTGTGGTTGTTGATGGAGATACGTTCTCGCCTTTCTTTGCTTTTGGAGAGCAGTTGGTTGATGTACTTAATAAGGTAGTTYCAAGACTAAATTACAATAGTATGTACGCAAGTTGGGCATCATTGACATCTATGCTCAACTTGAGGGGGAGTGTAGTAATGGTGGGCCAGTTGGGCCATAACAACATTGTTTTTATTTTTATTTTAGGTTGATGGGCCTCACCCATGTGGGCTTGTTAACTGCTTTTATTTTCTTTTTTCTTAGCAACCTCCCTCTTAAGGGCAGTCTTGTAATTACATCAAATGTAGTGATTAGAGTTAATAAAAGTTAATTAGGAGAGGGAGTGAGAACTGATCGAATTTCTCATCTCCTTCCTCCTTTCTTCCTATTCTTCTTCTCCTTTTTGCTATTCTTATTTCTTTTTATTTCTTCTTATTTCCTCCTTTCTCTTTGATTTCTCCTATTTTCTATTGCTGGTTTTCTACTAAATCCGAAAATTATAAAAAATTAATTTTTATATGTATTAAATAATTTTCATTGCAGTAAAGAATTATAATATGGATCTATCAATGGTCTATTTAACTCATTGGTCTAAGAATGATTTTTTCTTAATTTTTAGGAAAAAATCCAAAAATTAGAAAAAATATTTATTCATTCTAGATGATTTTCATGGTAAGGAAGATGGAACTACCAATGATCTTTCAAGCTCTTTGATCTAACAATAACTTTAGTGTTATTTATATATTTGTTGTATTTGTAAGAGTTTCCCCAGCGTATCCGAGTGTATCCATATGTTTCCACCATATCCTTGTCTATGAAAAGCATATTGCAATGGTTATCCATATCCCGGATTTATTGATATGAGACACAATACTGATGTTTTTGAACTCTGGTCAAAATGCTTATCTGTTTTTGTTGCACAAATTCCTATACCTATCTAGCCTGCTACTTGGTTAAAGTCTTAGTTAGCTTCAAGTTTTGCTTCTCTTGATTAATGAGGTGAATTAATTGTTTTTAAGAATATGTGGATGCTATGCTTAATGCTTTGATATTTAGGTCAAAAATTGCTGCTACATCCATGTACGGTTTGACACGTATGTCAATCTATCTTTATTTTTCAATTCATGAATTTACATGGTATTATTTGATAGGTTAGATCTTCTGTCATTATACTATTATTATTATATGCAAGATTTTTGGGTTCAACTATCTTGATACTTCTGCAGTGGAATGCATCTTTGTGGTTTTCATTAAGATATTTTTTTTTAATTCTTGCTTTTGTTGTTGAAAATAAAGAACTTTAAATCATTGGTGGACATTTTATCTGCAAATGTTAAATTTCTCTAATAGTTTATAAATATTGCAGAACGCGATGGCATATGTATTTGGTTCAACTTTTGTTTGCAGAAGTACTGATGCTGCAAAGGAGGTAATCTTTGTTTTGGGTTTCGATCCTTTTGGACTTGTACTACTACAGTTGTTAAAATTCCTCAGCAGTTGCTCTAAATCAATTGTAGTTGAGTGATAGTGTTTATTAGATGTGTGCTAGTTGTTACCTTGGTACTCAAGTTTGCTAATATACCGAATGATCAGACGGATTAAGAATTAAAATTATAAGATCATTTTTTTAGGGATTAAGAAATTGAAGATGCTAACATGATTTGTTTGGGCCACGGTTTTAAATGTCCCCAAGTTCCCTAATATTTCCTTGACATATTTCCATTTCGATTGGTAGTGACACAAAATTCTATTGGAATCGGCATATTCCCTAATGAACACTACTAGCACTATGTGAAGTACATGCGGTAGCTTCAACAACATATTTCCATCTCTACTTCCATGGGTAGTAACATGAAATTTTACTAGAATCGACATATTCCTCATGAACACTACCAACATTATGTGGGATACAAGAAAAAGTATTTTTTTTGATAAACAATCAAAAAGTATTATTGATAAAAAAACAAGAAAAAGTATTATAACATAAGTTGGTGACAGTATTGTAGATATGTGGAGTAACAATGTTATTGGATGCCTAGTTTACATGTTTACAACTTTGAGTTAGTTCAATATTCATTTTAAACATGAAAGATGAAGTTAAATAATCAGTTTTGTTTGTGTCATTGATTATTTGATTGATTTATTACAATCATTTACATTTTCTATGAGTTCAAAATTTTCTTTAACTCATTCTATCATGAAGCTTTAAATCTTAAGGTTTATAGGACAACTTTAGAATGTATTCTTTTGTCTATATACTTGGTTTCAAAGATTTTTTTTAATGAGTTTGAGCAAGATAGTAATTTAAAAAGGTATGCCTAGGGGTGAGCATTATTTGGTTAAAATTGAAAAACTGAACTGAACATTTTGGTTTTGTTTTTTTTCGGTTTTTGGTTATTTTAGTTGATCGGGCCGGTTTTTTGGTTTATAAAATTTCGGTTTCGGTTTTCAGGTTTGGGAATTCGGTTAACCGAAAAACAAAATTAACCAAACTTTATTATCTATATATATTATATATATTTTAACATGTAATACATATATATTACATATAATATATATTATATTGTATTATATTATGCATTAAAGTATATAATTATTATATATTGTATAATATATATATTAAAAGGCGTGGGAGGCGTACGCTTGGAGGCGCTCTCAAAACGCCCTGAGGCGTATGCTAGAGGCGTTGACACCTCTGAGGCATACGCCTCTTGCGCTTTTTCCATGAGGCGTGCTAGAGGCGTACGCCTCATGCTGCTTTGTCTGAATGGTCAACTTTGCACTGTTTCATGCCAAACTTCTTTACCACCTCACTGAACCTACCAAACCATGYTCGAGGAGACTGTTTAAGCCCATATATAGCCTTCCTCAGTCTGCACACCTTACCATCCTCCCCCTGAGYAACAAACCCTGGAGGTTGCTCCATGTAGACCTCCTCGAGTAAGTCACCATGCAAAAAGGCATTCTTGATATCAAGCT